TTGGGCTTCGCTGGACAAACAGTGGGATGTGGCTCCAGTGCCAGACCAGTGCTGGGCACCCTCCTGCTCTCAGCCCCAGCTGCTGGAAAACACTGCTGATGTTCTGCCAGTCCATGGAAGGAGATCCTGAAGAGTCAGAGAAGAAACTACAAAACCATAAATTAACGTTGCTAACAGAAAAGTGTAATCCTATTGACTTCAGTGAGACTTAAAAGCAAACAGTTATGTTAACTATTAATTGTTATAACTAAGAAGATCAGATCAGAAGCCCAACCTGTGCTTTATGAAGAAAATTAAAGCTTCTACAAAAGTTACTAAAATGATGACATGCTCCCATTATGGCTCTTTACAGATCATTACTTATTGTCAATGTTGTTCAAGTTTGCTACCAAAATACAAATGATAGCTTTCTACAAAACTGTGCATGTTAGTTAACCTCATTAAATCCTAAAGGATTAGTCAGCTGTTCCTCAAAGTTATGTGGCTTGGAAAGTGATTTTCTAATATGCAAACTTCAAAGGAATTTTGAAATCCTGCAGCGTAAGCGAGACAGACAAATGTTAATCCACTGGAGTGCTGCTTAATGGCCTGTTTAATTTTTGTATTGCTTGGTCTCTGTAAGCAGCTGGACATGAAGGCTGCTTGCAATTCAGCTTCCTCTTGAACCACCCCACTCATGGAACATGGATTCCTCTTCCACATGGATGACAGTGCTTGCAGGTATGGCCATGTTCCCGTGTCTTTTCCCCAACCTACAGCTATGCACGGACACAAACCCACCTGGGGAGGGACTCCCCAAGCTCACTGGTGGGTGATCACAGACTCCACAAATGGTTTGGAAGGGACCTAAAAACTCATCTCATTCTAAACCCCCTGCCACGGGCAAGAACCTCTTACCACTATCCCAGGTTCAACCACGGGATTATCCACGTACAACCTGGACTTGGACACTTCCAGAGATGGGGCAGCCACAGCTTCTCTGGGCCGCCTGTGCCAGGGCCTCAGCACCCTCACAGGGAAGAACTACTTCCTAATACCTAACCTAATTGTTTCCTGTTTTAGTTAGTGTTAGGGAGTGCAGGGAGTTTGTGCCTGCCCAGTGTATCATGCAGAATTGGGAACCCACTATCACACAGGCTTGGTGGGGACTACTCTGACTCAAATAAATAATGCTATTAACTGTGAAGTAGTGAAGGAATAAAACACACTGCATTTTGAGAGCAAAGAACTGAAACCCACAAATTAATTAAGGTTCACAGCCCTCCTGTACAATACAGAGATAATTGCTCAGTTCACAGTTCATGTGGGATAAGAGGGAAAGGGATGTGGCACAGTGATAGCAGCTCTGTAATATAATAGAAGAAGCACAAGTGTCACTTCAGCCCCAAGAAGCTTCTCCTTCTTCCCCTGCATCTCCTGGGGCTCACAGGGGACTGGAGGAGCTGGGCTTGTGTACTCCAGTGCCGAGTAGAGTCTGGACAGAGATCCCTGGCTCTAGTCCCATCCCACTGCCTCTCCCCATTACGCCCTGCAGCATCAGCCACGTTCTGCCAGGACACTCAGATAAAGCTTGGGATCCTCACCCGTAAGTGTTGGAAGATGTTGCTGTAATGGAGACTGCCAGCAGTCAAGTCAGCAATCCAGGCTGAATAATGTACTCATTGCTGTGTTATCAGCTGGGAAACCTGTTAGTAGTAAAAATACATGAGAAGAAGAAAGGGCACATGAATGTTTAAAGGGACGAAAGCTTTCTCAAGGATGACACTTAGGCAGGCCCAGCATGAGTCTGGGTGTCAGACATATCAAAAGGCTGCTGTACGGAAGTATTTTGGTATGTCTGATATGCAGGGAGCACAGCTTTGCCTCAGGGATCTTATTTCATTCACCTGAAAATGAAAAGCATCACACCATACCCTGGAGACCAGTGAAAGATCCTGACATTGGACTCAAGGATGTCAAAAGTCTTTTCTAACCTAAATGATTCTCTCTTCTACCAAGTAAAGCAGCAGGATGAGAGGAAATGGCCTCAAGTTGCACCAGGGGAGGTTTACATGAGATACTAGGGAAAATTTCTTCACCAAAAGGGCTGTCCATCATTGGAACAGGCTGCCCAGGGCACTGGTGGAGTAACCATCCTTGGAGGGATTGAAAAAATGGGTGCACGTGGCACTCGAGGACAAGGATTAGCGGTGGCCTTGGCAATCCCGGGTTAATGGTTGGACTTGATGGTCATAAAGGTTTTTTCTGACCTAAAAGATGTCATGATTTTGTTTCCTGACTTTTATGTTAATAACAGATAGTGTCCAAACCCACAGGAGCCATCTAGAAACAGGATACGTGCTTTTTTCCTTCTTTTGTGAAAGTGGTTTTGAGGGCTGACAGTGAAAGATGAAGCACTGTGTACTCCCTCCCGTCATCCTTCAGTGAGGTTGAGCCCAGCAGTGGGACTTGAGAAGTGATATCTATAAAACAGATGTCAGTGGTAACAACTTTTTATTTGTATAGAAAATAGCTGTAAACAATTTAGTACCAGCTGTAGCTCTTGTATGGCTTTAGCGTCTGATGTCCCACACCAGTTCCTACCGGTTTCAGTGCTTGCCGCCAGGATTCGGTCCCATTAATCCAGTTTTTCTGGGCATGCCATAGGATGACATCTCTGATGAGGCCAGTGCATTCTGGGTTTTGTAGAATTCTACAAGAAGGAAAACTTCTGATACATACACTGAGAATATATTTTAAAATTTTAATGATTTTCTTTCTACCCACGTTGGTTTAAGGTTAAGGTTAGAGTTAGGGTTAAGATTAGGGTTCAGGGTTAAGGTTAGAGGGTTAGGAAAATTACGAATGGAGCAGGATTCCTCCCAGACCCAAGCCACCCCCAGCTACAACTCGGGCTGCCCTTGGAGTGCCAAACGTCTCTGACAAACCGACATCAGGAACCTGCAGAGGTGAGTTTTCTTTCCCACGGAAAAGGGGTGCCATTCACGTCCAGCGGCCGGGCGGCCGCGAGCGGGTTTCTGCGTCCCAAAATTACAAACGGAGCAGGATTCCTCCCGGACCCGAGCTGCCTCCATCCAGAACTCAGGCTGCCCTTGGACTGCCAAACGCCTCTGACAAACTGACAGTCGGGGAGGGAGGGCGAGAGGAGGGTTTTTTTACATTTTAAAAGGGCTGCCATTTGAGTCCAGGGGCCCAGTGGCTGGGAGCGGGCTTCTGCCTCCTAGAATTATGAACGGCGCAGGGTTCCTTCTGGACTCTAGCCCTCCCCACCTCGAACTCGGGCTGCCCTCGATGTTATAAACACTTCTGACAAATCAACATCACCAAAATTGTGTCGTGAGTTTTCTAGTGCAGGATTTTCCTCAGACCAAACCTCCAGCGTCTATTCATGAGTCTAACCTCAGCAACTTCACCGGACCTGGAAAATCACCTTTGGATCAGCAGCATGGGACCCAACCCACGGCACCACAACCGGCCCCTTACCAAAGCCTACCTCTGCAGTCCTAAAACTCTACATTTTCACAGGGCGTCCCCTCTGACTGACCTTAAAATATGTTGAAGTATCCTAAAATAGCTCTGAAATAGCTAAAGAATTAGCTATTCTTAAAGAATAGCCTGAAGAACTATTAAAGTTAAACCCGCGGTCCCCCCTTCCCCCGCCGACACCGTGGTTCCCGGCTCCGCCACCCCGCCCGCGCTCGGCATCGCGGTTCCCGCAGCTCAGCTCCCCTACACCCCCTCCGCGCCGTCCGCGCCGCCTTGGTGCCCCGCGGGCTCCGCTTTCCCGGCGCCCGTGGGGCCGCCGGCCCTGCCGCCGCCCACCGACACTATTCTGTACGGTGCGGGCCGATCCGAAATTCGCGCTGCCGTCCACCACTCCCCCATGCTGCCCTGCGGCGCTGACGTCATCCACGCATGCGCAGTCACCGCTTCTACCGCCGATGCTCCTGCCGCTACCCACGGCTGCCTCGTGCCCTCCCGCAGCCCCAGCTTTTCTACCGCCCTTCGTACCGGCCTCTCAAGCCACGGAGGGGGAGAAAAGGGGACGGGACACCGGCTCTACAACTGCTGACACCCGCGTCGCCTCTGCCACCGCCCAGCCCAGCCACCGTCCAGTCCCCGCCATGCGTCTTCACGTCCCCGCGTGCACCACCGAAGCCACCCAACGCCGGCACACGGCCCCCGCCTGTCTCCGCCCCGCTGCTAACACCGGCACAGATCTCGTCAGTATCCGCTACGCCAACAACTCTCCCCGGCAACGCGAAACAGCGACAGTTTTCTGCTTTCCTCTTCTACCTCACCACTTCCTCTTCAGAGCCCCAAAAAAGGGATGGGTTATCAGGAAAAAAGGGGTTTAAGCTGAGGGAAAAAGCTTCCTTTTCCACAATTGCCTGTGTTCAAATTGAAGAGAAATCCACTTTCCCTGCAATTTTAGTAGTCTCAATTGGAGGTAACTCTGCCTTTTCTGTGCTGTTAGAAGTATTAATTGATAGAGACTGCCCATTTTCTATTTTTTTCCACTTTAAGTGGAAAGGGAAAGCATGGATGATGCTTTTTTATGGATCTGAATTAAGAGAAAAATGCCCCCTTTTCCATCACCAGAGAGATTTAAAGCAAGGAAAACCACTCTTTTCCCCAGTATTTGAGGGGTTTAAATTAAAGGGGAGAAGCCATTTATTTACCACTGTATCTGTTTAAATGGAGTTAGCTGTCCCATTTGCTCATTTTAAGCATTGCCTTTTCCAGCATTTCAAAGGTTTAAAGCTGCATTTCAGGGCACTTCTACCCACACCCCGGCACCAAATATCTGCGACGGGAGCGAGGCCAGCAGGTATGTAATGGGAGTCCATTCTTTTTCTTATTTTTATTCAGAATGTAGAGAGCCCTGATTGGGAGTCCATTCTTTTTCTTATTTTTATTCAGAATGTAGAGAGCCCTGATTAAAGGTCCCTATGAGACACCATCCAAATCAATACTATTCTTCTCCACTCTAGTTAATCACAGGTGGAATGCTACTTAGCAATCACTGAAAAATAATTATGCAAGTCTATAAATTATCCAACTTAGCTGGCAACGCTGCTGAAACACAAAGTTTTTCTTCTTACCTTTTTTTTTTCCTTTGCTCCATTGTTTGGAGTAACTGTAGCAAAAAAGAAAACACTGTTTTTTCTTAAAGAGTCTTCTTCTACACGGAGCTTCTTGCCTCAAATTTAACTCAGAGGAGCCAAACAGCTACGGTCCCTCTGAGGGCTTTTATACCCGGTGGGATTTGCCGCCTCCCCTTTCCCAGGCATCGTGGGAAAAAGAGGCGGGCCCAGTTAGGGGTATATTAACCCCAGGCTGTGCTAAGGGGCATTATTCCCTCCAGGGGAATCAGTGGAGGTAAAGAGCTCCTCTCTCATTTCAGTGAAGCAGCTCTTTCGATTTACTTTAGTCTGCTAAGAGCAGGCATCTTTTGGGCATTTGCAGCAGCTGAAGTTTTGAAAACACCTTGAAGAAAACAATATTGAACACAGGGAGTATTTAAGCTCATGATTTTGGGTTGGGGGTTCAGGGGCAATAAGATGCTTTTATCATGACTCTTCTTCTTGGCTTTTTTTTTTTTTAGGAGGATTGCAATTTCCAGAAGTTCTAGGCCACGTCAAGTGCAATATTTCAGATTCTCTCAGCAGATTCATCGTAACACAAAAGGGAACCGCCCCCACAGCAGCTTTCCTTAGCAGCGGATCGGCCTCTCGCACAGATTCGCTTCGGAGAGATAAGTCCAGGGCCGTGGTCACAGAGGGGATCAAAGCAGGGCGGTGGGTTAGGATTCACACCGTTTAGGGGTTTTGAGTCAGCTATGGGGAGGGGAAGGTTTGAGAAATGGCCATTGGGGCCACAGTGAGGGAAAGGCTCACTTTAGCTAACAATGCTGAGGTGGGCAGGGCAGAGCAGTCCCGGGGGGTTGTCACTTGTCTCTCGTGCTTTCTGTATATTCCGTGCATCTCGTGTAACGTGCCTCTTGCCTTAGCCCTCCCAGGAGCTTCTGAGAAACCCCAGGTCCTTCCATTCATCTCCCATCTTTGCGTTCCTCGGCCCGACGCCGGCGCAACTTTGATTCTGGAGCTCTGACACGCGTCAGAATCGCATCTGTCTTCAGAAGCACGCGATCGTACGTTTTTTTAGGTCTCGTTCTCAGCTGTGTCAACAGCTATATGCAGCAGTGTTTCTTTACAGTGGATAAGGACTTGTGCCAATTCAAAGGCAGGCAGAGGCTTCCAGCCACAGGATTCTCAGGCATCCGTCTCTGCGGTTCTTGGAAAAAGTTGTTCCTTTAGCATCTTTTTCCTCCAGGGTCATCTGATCCCGACAGGCTCGCCTGGGGTCCCTCCTCGGTCATCACGTTCAGCATTCTCTTGGTCCTCGTGAGGACTTTCTTGTCTCAGAGTTTTCTCTCCCTGTCACGTCCCCTCGTCTCACGTGTCACGAGTGTCTGGGGGTATTTGGTCCGGAGCTGCTCTGCCCTGCCGCCCAGCCGGGTTGTAGGCGTTTAAGGACAAGTCCCGGGCACTTGTAATCGGAGACTTGTAGTACGGGCTGTAGTTGGAGTCTAGGTGGTATTCTTATGTTGGCAGAAGGTGTTTGGAGCTGTGAGGTTACCCTGCAGCACTTTGACTCTTTTCCTAACTTTC